TCAAGAGACGCGTGTTGGAGAGTGTCAATCGGGGAAACGACTTTCCCATTAAATAGTTTATCGTTATTCGCCTTCGAAATGTACCAACAGATCCATGGGAAGGTATCGAATTGTGGTCTCAGTGGAGCCACCTCTGGAAGTTCATTTTTGGTATATAGATGTACTCGGAAAGTCACCCGGAAGGGACGAATAGTCCGATAAGGCTCAAATCTACAGTGCTTATGGGCATTCAAAAAGAAGATGATTATTGACTTCACTAGGCCATCACATCTAGGATAACTCTTATCGGTGCCTAGATGTCTATAAGTGAGTCTCTCTGCCGTCGCCACACAGCCCGAGATAGCATGCCACAAAAAATGTTTCATCTTACTTGGAGCCTTTATCTTACACACGTGGCTCAGAAGGCTCGGGATACTTGGTTCTAGAACCTATTTTTGTGTGAGATTCCTCTTGTTCGATTGAAGTAGGTCATAGCCGATTTTAACTGAGTATACTCATGATTTTGTGTGGTTCCAAACATATCCATCCAGAATAAGAGAGCGAGAAGGTTTTATCCCAAGTATCAAAGGGATATCTTATGGATGAAAAAACCCGTAAAAGTTGTATATCCCACTCCTTGGTATCATTCCTAATAAAGGACTGAACACGAAGTTGGGATAGTCTGTAAACAATGTAATCAGCAGGTCTAGGTGGACGAGCCACTGAGTCTGGAACCCAAGACTCACTCCAAACCCTCGTATCTTGATCCGTACCAATTTTTTTTCGTAAACCCGAAATGAGTAGAGGTTTTGCTGCCATGATACTACGGCATCCACATGATAGTGAGTATATTCGTGGATCTTTCAAAAGAGAGGTTTGGTTGTAGTACTTTCCCTTTAGGACATGTGCCAATAAGGAGTTCGGATAATGAATTAATCTCCACAATTGTTTTGCAAGAAGCGCATATTGAAGTCATGTAGAACCCAAAAACCTAGTCCCCCCAAATCTTTAAGGGTACAGATCTCGTCCCATGCTATCCATTGTAAACCTCTGCTGTTCTATTTTGAGCTCCACCAAAAATTAGAACTTGTGCTCCTTAGTTTATCGGTAATTCCTTGTGGGATCAAGTAACATGACATTGGAAAAGTCGGAACTGTTTGGACCATAGATTTAATTTGAACTTCTTTTCCTCCTTTGAAGAGGAGTCTCAATGACCAAGTGTTGACTCGCCCATTAAGTCGATCTTATAGGAGAAAATTTTCATTTTCAAACCACATGACTCCTCTTCAGGTAATCTAAGGTACATCCCCATGACTCCTTCAGGAAAAAAACCCAAGACCTCTTTTATATCTCACTTTAAATATAATTCCACTTGATTTCCAAAAAATATCAAAGATTTTGATACATTTAGTCTTGGTCTGATCTGTGTTCAATAATACGCTAGGCGTTAGTCGGGCGGTCGGTGTACGCCTAGCGATTTATCAAAAAATCGGAAATTAAACGGCGAGGAATTTAAAAATATTGTAGGTAATATATATTGGTTTTTATGGTTATATTCAATGTGAAGATTTGGTCTTGTGGCTAAAAGTTTTTAGGAACTACTTACGAAACTTGTGTTCGACTATCCCCATCTCTACAAATCTTTATATTTTCTTATTTTATTAGTTAAATGAGAAATTACAATTATGTCCTCATCTCTAACCTAAACACAGAAGTTTTTCTGAACATTAGCCGCCGCATCCGTTTGACATACGACTTCCACTTCTTTTTTTTTTGTTATTTCGTACTAATTATACTTATAAACTTTCAAGTAACTATCAACTAAGAGATTTTTCAAGCGATTTTGTGATATTAACCGCCGAGTTTTCGGATTCCACGGATAATTCGGAGAAAACTCGGTGCACCGCCTATCTTTGCCGATTAGGTCCTTTTCGCCGCGGTGGATACCCGATCAACGACTATACGGCTGCGGACTCGCCAACTCGGGCGCGTTTTAGAACACAGGTCCTGATGTCTTCCTATATATGTATAAAATAATCTTTGTGTATTACCTTAATTCAACCTTAAAAAAAAAGACTATCATCTCTGAAAAAAAGATAAGACCACATGTTTTAAACACACTAGTTATACTACCATATAATAATATAATAATAACAAACTTCATCCTATCGGAAAGTAAGGATGAGACCAAATGTTTTAAACACACAATATCGAAATCTAGAGTAATTATGAAAAACATATAAATTTATGCATATATCGATAGAACAACATATAATAGCACCACATCATTAACCGAGTTCATTCTTGTAGCAGATAAACAAATAAATTGATTATAATGTACTTTTGGTAAAACCTAACTGGTTTATAATAGATAAGTTAAATCATATTGATCAAAACCATTAGCTTCCAAACATAACTGTTTACCAAATCCAACATTATGCTTAGAACAAAAAAATAACAAAATGATATTGTTGTTATGTTGTGTTTGATACTTGTAATCACTTCTATATCGTTTTTGAAGTGTTTCGAGAAAATGAATCGTGTAGTCGGAATAAACAAATGGTACGAGCATCATCCAGCTTTTCCTTTTTGTATTAGAACCATACGAACCACACAGCCTTTCGTTCACACGTCTCGTCGTATTTGTGTTAAGCTTTTTATGCTACAACGACAAGTACTACATGACAAAACTCGAGCTTCGGCCAAACCCCCAAAAATCTCTTGCCGTTTCTTTTCATGGACTTCACGTTCAAATTTTTAAATAATCAACGTGGTTAACTCTGAAGCGCAAAATAGAAACAGCAATAGTTTGCAAACTCTTAATAACATGAGTTGAAAATAATGTGAACATGGATTCTTCAAATGATGTTTTGTTGATCGGTCGTTGCAGAGGTGTAGCCGTATCGCATTTAGTTAGTAGTTTATACAGAAATACTAATTAACAAGTATATATGTTTGTCAGTATGTATAAACCATGCGACCATGCAAAAACATAATAATTTAAATAAAATTAAGTATAAGGTGAACGAAATTGGCTTATTAAAGTCACTTAAACATACGCTCATTCCAAACCGAATGCTTTTTTTTTTTAAAAAAGACTTTGAAGGTATCACAGATCTATGAAATTTTTTTAACCATTCTTTAAAATGGTTATATCCACAGATGAATTCTCACTCAAAATATTCAAATGAATCATAAACCCTTTGGAAAAATCTTAAACATTAAATAAAAAATAATAATACTAACCAATTATACTCTTTTTATTTATTTTTATCTTTTTATTTTAAAAACATAATATAATGTAACAATATTTTTTCATTTTGAAGATATATTAAAAGATTTTTTCAATTTTTTTTTGTGCAATTATTACTGTTTTTATTTTATTTTTATCTTTTTATTTGAAAAACATTATATAAGGTTAAAATGTTTCTTTCTAATGAGTTTTTATTTTTATTTTCATTGATTTTTTCTTTTTCCATTTTTAAAACATAATACTCCCTCCGTTTCAGAATATATGTCATTTTAGCCTTATTTTTTTGTCACAAATTAAGTGTCGTTTTAGAGTTTCGAGGCAAAATTTAATATTTTTATATAATATTCTATTTTTTATTGGTTGAAAAGTGGTTAGGTGTATAGGTAATTGTGTTTTTATCTTGAAAATATGTAAAATTAAATATTTCCTTAATCTATGTGCAAAAACCTAGAATGACAACTAAAGTGAAACGGAGGGAGTATAACTTAACAATATTTTCTTTCTTTTTTTAAAAGATATCAAATATGAAATAACACAAATTATAAATATTCTTTAACTTTAAAATATTCAAAGAAAGAGATCAATTCAAATCTTAACTATTAATACTGAAATACAAATTTAAAATATTCTTTAACTTTTTTCAATAATTACACTTTGATACAATTGGATTTATTTTGTGATTTACTTGTAATCTTAGTCTATCAAAATTTAAATGTCTTAATAAAATCAATATCTTACTTACCTATTTATAAGTAACTAATCCGTATATAAAATTCTAATTATACAAATTTTCCTTTTTTCTAACATAATCCTCACTGTAAACTTTTTAATAAATGCAAATCGAAAAATTTAATTGCAACTAACCAACTATGGAATTCTCACTCCAAATAGATTGGAATTATCACTCGAAATATTCAAATGAACTATAAGATAGCCAATATCTATATGACCACAAGGTAAAGTGTAGTGTGAAGCCTTCAAACATATGTTACTTAGCAATTCCAAAATCCATCTACAACTAGATTCCAAATGTTAAGAGATG